AAAAAAAAAAAAAAAAAAAAAATTCTATACCATGACTGTGGTAGCAGTAACATAACTGTACACATTTGTTAAAACTCAAATTGTACACTTTAAATTGGTGAATTCTGTTGTACTTACATCATACTTAATCAAGCTAACAAAAGAAAAATAAATGTGTAGGTACTAAACCAGACAAAGAGATCATATGGTTTTCAACTGGAAATAAGCATAGCATGGTGGCTAAAAGCAAGAGCTCTGGAATCAGTATCAGTGTCAGTGTTCGATCCTGGCTCCTCCACTTATTTCCTCTGACTTTGGGCAAGTTATTTAAGGTCTCTTTACCAGAGTTCCTTAGGTCTAAAAGTGGGGACAATAAGAGCACTGACCTCGTACAACAATGAGTTAATACATTTTGTAAAACAGGACAGTTTCTGGGACACACTAAACATCCTACGAGGATTTGCTATTATTTTTAATTCTCCTTCAAAATTCATCTCCCACCTACTCCAAATTTCTGATCATAACCACAAATCACCTTCCCTGGTCCTTAAAGGTTGGAAATAGGACTTCTCGTTTATGCCTTTTACATAGGAACTGAAATTCCACTGAAAACCAACCCCTGGATTGTAACAGAATGTGTTATAACTTGAATAAAAGAAAAATACTATTGGATAAAAGTTCAAAAGAATTCGAACTATAAAAAAAATTTATGTGCAGATAAACAGCATGTTTCTTCTAAGCAATTTTGTTGTAGTCTGTGAGTGGCTATGCAGGTGACCAGAATTAACTAAGAAAACACTGTAGTCCTAGTCTGACCCACTAATCTGTTCATTATTGCTGTTAAAAGTCATGAAAGTGACCAGGTGTTGTAGCTGATGCCTGTAATCCTAGCACTCTGGGAGGCCAAGGTAGAAGATCGCTTGAGCTCAGGAGTCAGAGACCAGCCTGAGTAAGAGCAGAACCCTGTCCCCACAAAAAATAGAAAAATTAGCTGGGCATGGTCGTGGGCACCTGTAGTCCCAGTTATTGGGAAGGTTGAGGCAGCTTCTAAGCTTTTATGAAGTGAAATAAATGATAAACCTGAAAATAAGTTGAGCCTAGGAACCTGAAGTTGCTGTGAGCTATGAGCACATCACCGAACTATGGCCCAGGACTACAGAGCAAGACTCTGTCTCAAAAATGAAGGAAGTGAAAAGAGGGGAGAGGGGGGAGGAAGAAAAGGGGGGGGAGATAAAGGGAAGAAGAGATTATTATTCAACTATTAGGATAAGAATAAATCCATCATTAGCACTAGAAGAGTAACCTGGAGTCCAAGGTCTGCTGATTTTTGAATGATAACATTTCATCTATACCATGGGTTGTACAACTTAATAAAAATAGTAACCTCTGGCATTAACTTTCTTCAGAGATTAAAAAACACGAAATTTTTTTTAAGTTAATAAAAAACATTCTGTAGAATCATTATCAGTTCTGGATAAAGACTCATAAGAGAGGTTTTGTTTTTCTCTGATGAATTCCTATTTTGTCAACATACATTAACAACTCAAAGTGCCTTTACCTGTTCTTCCCAAACAGCCGCTTTCATAGCTGTCACCTCTCACCTGAGCATTGGATACAGCATTTATCCTAGAACAGTACAAAATCATCTTTATTCTTATCTAACGTCAATACCTGAATAATTAAACATATCTTTTCACCTAACAAAAATGCTTGTGGATAGAAATGTTATTTTAGTATCATTTTCCTAAAGTACCCCTAGAAGACACATTTATTTTAAGAAATTTCTATCACTTATCTCTAGAGGTTATAAAAGAAGGAACAATTTTCTGGTTTCTTTGACTATTTCATATTTATACATAAATGACTCAGTGTTGGCTATCCCATTTTAAGGTTCTCATTATAATCAAGGGTTAAGCAGTTTCTCTGTGTATTTAAAGACAAGTGATTTTCTCTGACCCATTTCTTAAACTCAGAAAAAATTTAAGTCTACATATAATAAACAGGCCCACTTTATTCAGCTGCTTCTTTCATTTTTATTAGAGCAAGGTACATTAATTAGTAGTAGGAATTGCCTTTTCTTTTTTTTTGCACTTTTTGGCCGGGGCTAGGTTTGAACCTGCCACCTCTGGTATATGGAGCCAGCACCCCACTCCTTTGAGCCACAGGCACCTCCCGGAATTGCCTTTTCTTAGCAGTCTGCATGGATTTATAAGTAGTTTCATTTTCCATAATAAAATCTTTTTTTGAACTCTTGGCAGTATTAAGAAAATTATGTAATCTTAATGTTTACTGTATCTTTTAATTGCTAGAAGACACCCATAAACAGCTTCTAAGCTTTTATGAAGTGAAATAAATGATAAACCTGAAAATAATTTAATAAAAAACAAAATCCACAGACCAATCTCAAGAAGCATATTTTTTAAAAATAATATTCCATGGTGAGAGTTTAGTGTATTAAAATACTCAAGGTAGATTAATTACTAAAAAATATAGAAACATAATGTACTTCATTAAATATAAGATGCTGATTTTAAGATACACCTTATTTTTAATATGCCTAGAAAGAAAAAATATTAATTATATTTAATAATTCTAAAATACCACTGATTATAAGAAGCATCCTAACGTATAGAGATATTAATATGTGAACAGGCATATCTTGGAACTGATGAAACATGATAATTGACCAGTTTATCAAACACATAGTACAAGGAGAAAAATTACACAATAATCTCTGTAGCTACAATCTGACTAAATTTCATACCCATTCTTTGTAAAAAACAAAAATAAAAAACTAAATAAAGTAGGAGCATATATATATTATGTTAAAGATGAATCCATTAATTAAAGTAAAAAGTTATTAAGACAGCACTGAACATTAACGGAAAAATATGTTTAGAAAAACAATCTTGAATTGAGAATTACCTTCATACTTACATGAAGAAAGCCAATGTGGAAAATACACCACAGGTGTGAAAGGCATGGTTCAGCTGCTCTGGCTTAGGGTACACCACAGCTGCATCAATCATAATCCACCAGCCTGTAAAAAACTGAAGAACAGCCCGAGTCAGGGAAACTAAAACTCTTGTTAGTACAATACTTGCTCTTTATCACTCCTTTTTTCCTACAGAGCATATAAATAAAACAAAATATTTCTACTTTTAAGTTTTAGATGCTGAAATATAAAAAATAAGAATCCTTTGTTATTCCTTATAGCAGATGAGGTAAACATAATCAAGTCTAAAAGATTCTGAAGTTCTGCTCTCAGTGCACATTGAAAACTATTATTTGGGAATGGATTATTTGCTTCTTTCATCCACCATTATTATGTGGAGCAGAAACTCTAACCTCCAATGTAATTAACTCTCTGATTTCCTGATGTGCTTCATTATCTCTGGAGAACACAATTTTGCTCCCACAAATGAGTTGTATACTCATTTGGACATGTGTCAGTTGTCACATGTCCAAAGTGATTTAGGCCTACTATAGTTTTAATTATGTAATTTAATTAAATATTGTACAAAATGAGTTTGTAAGTGCGGCACCTGTGGCTCAGTGAGTAGGGCACCGGCCCCACATACCAACAATGGTGGGTTCAAACCCAGCCCCAGCCAAACTGCAACAAAAAAAGCCAGGTGTTGTGGCGGGCGCCTGTAGTCCCAGCTACTCAGGAGGCTGAAGCAAGGGAGTCGCCTAAGCCCAGGAGTTCGAAGTTGCTGTGAGCTGTGACATCATTGCACTCTACCAAGCGCGATAAAGTGAAACTGTCTCTACACACACACACAAAAAAAAAGTTTGTAAAATATAGTGTCTCCATGTAAAATAACCTGAAGAGACTTAAAAGATACAAGTTGCTAAAGAATTTCATGTTTTTTTTCTTTTCTTACAGTTTTTTTTGTTTGTTTTGTTTTTTGGCCAGGGCCACGTTTGAACCCAAAACCTCCGGTATATGGGGCCGGCGCTCTACTCCTTGAGCCACAGACACTACTCTATGGGTTTTTGTTGTTGTTGTTGTTGTTTTTGAGACACAGTCTCACTCTGTTACCCTGGGTAGAATGCCATGGCATCATAGCTCACAGCAACCTTACACTCTTGGGCTCCCAAGTAGCCGGGACTATAGGCACCCGCCACAACACCCAACTAGTTCTTTTACTTTTAGTAGAGATGGGGAGTCTCACTCTTGCTCAGGCTGGTCTTTAACTCCTGAGCTCAAGCAATCCACTCCCCTCAGCCTCCCAGAGTGCGAGGGTAACAGGTGTGAGCCACTGTGCCCGACCCTAAGACCCTAAAGAATTTCTTAGATAAATTAAATACAGGTGAAATGACCACAAAGCACAAGAACAACTTAAGCATCTAAAAGAATTCTGCATGCAGACTGCTTCACAATTATCTTCAGTTCCCTGTCTTCTTGATATCATTCTGTTTGGGTTTTCTATTGGACTTCAGGTATAGAACTGTATGTACACTGAACAAGATTAAGTTTTTAAAGGTATGATATTGAAATTTGCTTCAAAAAAAAAAAAAAAACACAGTAGGAGCCAGGCACAGTAGTGTGTACTCCCTAGTCCCAGATTCTCCCAGGCTGAAATGGGAGAATTGCTTGAGTTCAAGAGTTCAAGGCCAACCTAGAAAACATGGTGAGATACTGTCTTTAAAAAAAAAAGGTGATAGCGTCTATGGCTCAGTGGGTAGGGCACCGGGCCCATATACTGAGGGTGGCGGGTTCGAACCCAGCCCTGGCCAAACTGCAACAACAAAACAGAAAACAAAAAACACTCTGGGAGGCAAAGACAAGTGGATAGCCTGAGCTTAGGACTTTGAGAGACCCTCTATCTACTAAAAAGAGAAAAA